TGCTTTAGTCTGCTCAGCTATCTTGCCAGTCCCTTTCAGTTGTTTTCTTGCTGAAAGATATGGCTGAGGTATTGTGCAGGTATATACCCAAATATTCAAATATTTATAAAATATTTGTATTGGCTTGAAGATCCTGTAAATCACCGTGGGGAAAAGATGTAGCAAAATAAATGGAAGTCACTTCAGAAACAACTGTAAGTCCATTTCAGTTAAATAAATTATTTAAAGCTAAAAAAAAAAAAAGAAAGTATGGCCTAAAATACCTCTGTAGGCTATGCAAGAACTATAACCTAGCCTTGCAATTGTATTCCAGACAGAAATCTCTGAGCTGGAAATTAATGGCTTGTTGGAAACAGTATTGTTGTGAGATTTGAGACCTGTGTTTTAGTCTTGTCTATTGCAGTATTTGTTTGGATTCATTTCCTTATTTATAATCATCAAGTTGGACTAAATTATAACCCTAAAGTTCCCTTAAGCTTCTGTGTATCCAATGGTTTGAATGTACAGGCCAGTTTCTCTAAAATTCTCCATCTCATACTGGTAAAAGGAACGATATAAAGGAACTACAAGGTTGTATTAGGATAGAGGCAGAAGGCCAGGGAGATAGTTCAGTGGCATAAGCACCTGCCTGGCAAGGACAAGGTTCTGATACAGCAACAACAACAACAAAATGCTAGAGGCTGATTTTCTTTTTTTTTTAATTGTTTACCCAGAAAAATCTTAGAAGATGCTTAGGTTGAACTAGACTATTCTTTTCAAAATTAATTTCATTTTTACTAGAGCCAAATGCAAGCTTAGATTGTATTAAGGTACCAATCATGTAGATAGAGGAATATTTGGGTTTTAGCCCCAGCTTTGCCAGTAGATAACTACATTCTGAATAATTTGTTGTTATTCTTTTGTCATATTTTGCTTTCTCCATATGTAATAATATGAAATGTAACCATATAACCTACTGCTTGCATTAGTATTTGTGAAAACATGTTAGGGGAAAATAATTTATAATATTATATGAACAGAGAACTGTAAATTATAAAAGCGTAAAACTCAGGTCATTCTTGAAATTTAGTTATATTTAATCTTCCAGGATAATTGTGTTGTTCGTTTGTTTTTCAAAACTATAGACTACTGGAAAAGATGGAGAATTCTTTTTTTTTTGAAGCTTAACACAACCTTAAACCTATTAAAGTGAATTTAAACCTGGTAAAGATAATGTAGATAC